AATGGCTAAGTAAATTGTGACATATGAATGTAATGGGATGCTATTGTAAGAAATGAGAGAAAAGACAGTTTTAAAGATGTATGGAAAACCTTTAGGCACAAGCTTATTGTTCATACACAGTGCAGAGTGAACTGAGCAGAACTAGAAGAACAATTTATGCTTTAACATCAAATGAACAATTCTGAAAAATTTCAGAATTCTGATCAACTAAATAAACAGCTGTGATCCCAGAGGACTGGTAAAGAAGGATGCTGTCCATTTCACGACAGAAAGATAATAGACTAATGGAAAATAGCAAACACACTTTTGGACATGACCATTGGGGGAATTTATTTTGCCTGACTGTACTTATGTAATACATGGAGACTCTGTTCTTCTTTTTAGTGATTCCCCTCCAGTGAATGGAGGAGGTGGGAGCGAGAAAAAAAATGCTTGATAATCATTGTTCAATTTTGCTATACTGTGTTTTCTTTTTCTTTAAAAATATTTGTTTCAAAGAGTGGCTTGCTGGGGAGGCAGGGAGAAAAAATGAATAGGATACAAAAACGAAGATATTAAAATAACAAAAACAATATACAGAAGACATCAGAAAAGTACCAGCGGGGCAGTTGATATTACCATGTTAAATTTAACATATACATAAATAATAAGGTATATATAATAGAGTCTCAAAGATTTGTACATTTTTCTCTTCAAAAATTTTACGTTTTCTCTGAAAAATTAGTTTTTGTTTATATTTGTCAAATTTATGATAAAAAGAAAATGAAATGAGTTGATTCAATCTCAAATTTATTTAAATTTTCTAACAAGTAAAAAAAAAACAATAATGGATGGGAAATAACACATTTTAGAAAGCCTGAACTAGTGCATAAGAATACATAAGGGTAATTGTTGGCAACAATATGAATAATGAACCCTGAGAACTGATGATCCTTTTTCTTGTATTGTGTTGATTTCTCCATGCATCACTAATCCATGAGGAAGATAGTAGAGAACTGGGTATGGGAACTGGAACACCTTAAAGACTGATTCTCTTGTACTTCCTTAGCAACTAGAGGTATTCCAGTTCTTGCCTCCTAACTAAGCATACAATATGAAATTAAAATGATTAAAATTAAAATAAGCCAGTGTTTTAGGGAGACTTTAACTTTGACTGCTGGGATTCATTTAATGACTTGTTAATATGTGTACAAGAATGTTTCTTCTGTAACTGCCAGTCTTCTTTTAGGTAATGTAAATGAATTGGAATTGCTTGCTATAAAAGAGAAGCATGCATACACATTATATGCTACTACAGTAATAATGAAAGCTTTTTTATCCTTGTTAGGATCTTTGTATATTACAAGTTTATTTCTCCCTCCCCATAAAACGTGAGTGAGCAGTCATATATGATATCCCAAGGAAAAATGTTTTAAATACCTTTGATCCCTACTTTTGAGAACAACTCAAGGTAAGCATTCTGGTACGGGCCTGACAATTTAAGACCAGAACTCCCTGGGATGACCAATGCTGATATTAATTGGCTATAATACTATATTCCTATGTATTTTAATTGCTTGTTTCTTTCTTTTGCTCCATCCTGAAAAAAGTTGAGGTCTTCCCCTGTCTCCCTAATTATAACTTCATAGTTAATTACCCGTCTGGGCCCAAATGGCCCCACAGCTCCAGGGATCTTAAATAAAATCCTCTCTCCTCAAATTAATGAGGAATTGTTCAAATTCTATCTTCTTTTTCTCTCAATCAAGTACTGCACCCAAAGAACCCAAATGCTACATCTGGAAGTGGAGGTAATAGGTAACACCTTGCTCCCTGCCAATCACCATCCTGGAACCCTCAAAAAGTAGGGAGCATTTTTAATGATGTTTGCTATTGGCTATTGTCAGCAGTAGGCCCTTTTTTTTGGGAGGAGGTGGAGTCAAGAAGGCAGAGAAAATGCAAGGATTCGACTGAGCTCTCTCAAATTCCCCTCTAAACAACTTTGAATAACACCTGAAAACAAATTCTGGAGTGGCAGAACCCACAAAATGTTGGGTGAAACTATTTTCCAGCCCAACACAACTTAGACGGTTGGCAAGAAAGGTTATTGTACCAGGGTGAGAGTAGAGTGCAGCTGACCAGCAGCACACCTTGGAAGCCACTGAGTCAACAGCAGCAGAAGCTGCTTCCAGAGCTCTTAGCCCACAGATGGTATGGGGATGTCAGAAGGAGATTACAGGGGTCCCCTTGCTGGCACTGGGTATAGGACTCTTGTGTTGCTCATGCTCGCAACCAGTTCACAGTCCTGGATCGCACTCCTAGGGTGAGGAGAAGTACTAGCACACCAGCGCTTGCTACCCCAGGGAAGTAGAGACCCTGCTCACAGTTCCAGGGCAAAAAAGAATGCTTGTGGTAACTCACAGACCAGTGCACAGGCCAGGAGAGTAGTAAACACATGTCTCCTTAGATCGTATCACCTTGGAAGAACTGAAAGCTTACCCTTCCCCTCCCTCCAGAAATAGCTCTGAAAACAGCTGCATGGTAGTTTGGGACAGTATCCCGTCTTTAACATTTTTAATAATTCAAAGTCAAGAAATAGGTAGGAAAAATAAGCAAACAACAAGAAAAGATCCTGACCACAAATAGTTATTATGTTGACAGGGAAGACCAAAATACAGGAGAAACAATAAAGAAGTAGGCCTTTCCTTGTACCCGAAGACAATCGAGGAAGCCATCTTGGAGAAGCTGCCACATAGTTATTCCATCTGGACACAGATTTGGAACAGCACAGAAGCCCCTTCCCATCTCTAGCTAGCTGTAAAGAATATCCTCTAATTTCTTTCTCATACACATAAGTCTAGTGTATTGACTTTCCCCTTTCCTCCTCTCTAGTATGAATTCTGATTTACCAAATCCACATTAGAAATGTTAGATGGTCTGTAAAGGTTTCATCTCATTCTAGCCCCAAGCCTAAGACATTGGAACAGCCTGAGTCATTTGAGCCTGGCCAACAGTAGCCACAAAAGTACCAATGGACACCAAAATCAGAAAGTATTACCAAATGAACAGGAAAATATCTAGCAGTACCCACCAGAATGTGATGCACGAGCTAGAATACACTCATATAGACTCATATAATAGACATATAATAGGCTCAACTATAATGTTGATGAGAAGATAGTGGTGAACTTCCTTGTGAGGAATGGCACATTGCTAGGCCCTGGCTGACTGAAGTCATGTTGTAGACTCCATGTTTGATCCCTGGTGGTCCCGCCTATGTCCCTTGACGTTCCTAGGTACCCGGTATCTGAGCCAGACAGCTTCATTTAGACAAGGTCTTCAAGGCTCTCCTAAGCATAATCAGTTTAGTCAACTTTCATAATCATAATCCCCTTGTAGTTGACAAGGAGGTTGCAGTCCAGGCCATCTGTCTCTACGGTTTCCCTTTCTACTTGGTCCCTGTGAACCTGCCTAATAACAGCACTCAGATGGGGGGCCATCTCCAGTTGTCCTGATCTATATCTTGTCATTGGACCTAGATGGCTCTGCGGAAGAAAGTAAGGCTGGTGACTTTGCACAACTTTCCTTCACTTAAATCCAATTCATTTGCAAGTCACAGCATCACCTTCCTGATGTCATGGTCCTCTTGGAACAAAGGAGAAACAACACCACCAGATGAAAGGACAGAAGCCCAGGATTCTGAGCTCAGGGTATGCATGCACCTCAGCTGAAGCCTGTACTTGCCTATGGAGCTTGGAAGCTACAGGCATTCATGCAAGAAACCGCCTGACTTGTGGTGCCTGAATGCTGTATTCCTTCTGCGAACCTCATTTGTATTCTCCCACCTCTCTGAGATCTTTCATTGTACCCACCCAGGTCTTTACAGAGACCACATTGTGAAAAAGTGATGAGTATATAGAATATAAATTAAATGTTTTTATTGTTGGTACTGGATTTTTTTTTGGGGGGGAAAGCACAATGCAAAACAAACATTGATTAAAAGATGGTATATATATTTTTTAATCTAAAGGTAAGTAAGAGATACTTGATACTTGGCACAAGAACTGTTGGTGTTCAGTTGTGTCTGACTCTTTGTGACTTCATTTGGGGTTTTCTTGACCAACATACTGGAGTGGTTTGCCATTTCCTTTTCCATTTACAGATGAGGAAACTGAGGCAAACAGGGTGAAGTGACTTGCCCAGGGTCACACAGCTAGTAGTCTGGGGCCAGATTTGAACTCAGGAAGATCAGTGTTTCTAACATCAGGCTAGCATTGTGCTACCTAGCTGTTCACAAAAACATAACTGATTTGAAATGAAGTAATTAGGAGTGAGGGTTTGGTTAAGACATATATTGTACTTTGGTTTACAAATTGTTTTTGCTGTTTTAATTCCCTCAAGGCAACACTTCTCAGACATACTGTAAGAGTCTCAAGAATTCTGGTTCATTTTCTGGGTCGGCTTTCATTCTCAAATCTTTGTTGTGGCTAAATATCCCTGAGAGTAGGAGTAGGGAGGGTCCTTGGTTGTCTAAATAGAGAAGCTATGTTGGTGTTTGATTTCTAAACTAAATGAGGCTTTTAAGATTGATTTTCCCCGCTTTTCGGACATCAAGGATTTTTGAAAGTAGAAAGGAAGGAGAATGGTAGGGGCAGGGTGACTTTGGGATGTAGGACAGAGATCTTGGATATTAAAATGTCACAGAGGGATGAGGTGAAATATTCCAATTTCAACTGAATTGTGTGCAACGGAGAAGATAAAAGTCACCTTACTTGAGAAAGAGAAAACAAACTAGTAAAGTTTTCTAACTGTGAAGCTTAACTATTTAAGAGCTATGCCTTTCATGGTCTGCTTGCCAGTTTAAACTTCATTTAAGACTGCAACACTTGATAATGGGATCATTAAATTAGAACTAGAAATGACCTGGGAGACCATTAAGTCTTACAGAGGAAATATAGAGATGAGAACCTGACATTTTGCCTATATCATCCAGCTCCTTAGGAGGTGGCTGGTATAGTAGGAAGACCTCTGGCTATCTAGGAACTGGGTTTGAATCCTACCTCTGGTGATCCTAACTGTGTGACAAGTCCCTTAATATTCCTGAGACTCAGTTTCCTCATCTGTCAAATGAGGGGATTGGAGGAGGTGGTCTCCAAAGTCCTTCCCAGCTCCAATCCACAATCCTTTTGTGAGACCTAACAGAAAAGTCATTTTTGTCCACCAGGGTATGGAAAGGACAAAGGTAGAATAAAAAATGGTTGCATGAAATGGAAATATAATAAAATTTTGAAACCTTAGGTTTTTCCCTCAAAAATAAGAAAGATGAAGGTATAATCACTCAGTATTCATTCTATTTTTATAAAAGGTCCTAAGATTTGGCACTGGAAAGCATCTTAAAATTAGTTCAGTCTAAAGTCCTCATTTCTTTTTGTGTTTGTGGCCAACCACTGCTTCAAATTGTACATTTTGGACCCGATTTATGGCGGCCAATGCACGCTCAGGAAGAAATCTGTGGAAGAAAAAAGAAAGCTTTTCAAATGAACATTGTTTGAGAATACAGATGCCAGCACTCATGTGAAATGGGTGGAAGTAACAGATGCATAGGACATTAATCTAAGGATTAGTTGCTTTGCCAGTAGTTTTTTCACTGTCAAATTTTGATTTTCTGATGATCGCCTTGCCTAGATTTGGTTCCTTTTCTTAGTTAATCAATTAATCAACAAGCATTTATTAATCACCTACTGTGTTCTTGGTGCTGTGCTAGGTGTTGGAAATAAACAAACAAAAACGAAATGCTCTCTGTCCTAAAGAAGCTAATATTCTGCTGGGAGAGAACATATTGATATTCTTCCTTCCCCTACTGCTTTTAACATTTGTATTCAAAATCCCCAATATGTCAGCCCTATATTTTAGAAGACATTCAGAATACTAAGGTTTCTCTAAAGCATGAAGAAACATCCTCTTATCTTCAATATTGTCTTTTCACACTGTTTCAATTTTGCAGCAGCAGAAAATGCTTGCTCTGAATGACCCCACATCCTTGGCCACCTGCTTCAAGGTAGGTTGCCCTTTTCCCCATTAATTCTCAACACACTGAACTAGAAGGAGGAGGTGGCATACAGAATCACAGAATTTGAGAGTTAGAAGAGTCCTCAGTGGTTTTCCATACTTGAACCAATACTTGAAAAGGATCCTCATCATTTATTTTCCAGGGTATGGCCCTTAGGGTACCTCTTCTACTCTTTTCTGTTGTTCAGTCTTTTCAGTTCCATCTGACTCTTCAACACCCTATTTGGGGTTTTCTTGGCAAAGATATTGGAATAGTTTGCCATTTCCTTCTCTGGATCATTTGACAGATGAGGAACCTGAGGCAAAGAGGGTAAAGTGATTTGCTCAGGGTCATATAGCTAGTAAGTGTTTGAGACCAGATTTGAACTCCACTCTTTCTGACTCCAAAAAATTTCCCTGGAAATGGGATGAAATGACCATGTGATGGAAGATCATAAGATTAAACTGATCTGGAGACCAAAACAGGTTTAAAAAAACACACCCCAAACTCAAACCTTTCTATGATATGCTCATGTAAATGACCAACACACAGCACATTCAGCTTTTTGGAAGTTGCCCTTAGTTGATTTTCAGTTTCATGTACAATTATCTTTTTTTAAATTTTCCTATGTTATGGAATTCTTGTTTTATTCCGTAAATTAAAAAAAATATGATTACTAGATGTGAATTGAGGATGAAAACAGCTTCCTTAGGCAGTGAGAGGCTGCAGAGTAAGCAAGATGACTATATCAGAATGAACCACAAAAGTACTGAAAACTTGGAATATTGAAAATGTTTCAAAATGAAAAGCAACATTGAGTATTTGATTCTGAAAAGGAATATTCTCCTGTTTTGTGATAGTTTGCAATATCTCCATGGCTGTTCCAGTGTTTTTCTAATGACTGAATTGGATGTGCTCATTAGTTAGAACCAGTAAGGAGGCTGAGATTCTTATAATCTAGCCAATTACTAATGTTCAGACTCCTTAAGAGTCTGCCCAATATGGTGGATGTTCTAATAAACCTTGTCTTTGGCTGAAAGAAGGCTTGGGTTGAATTCTTTTGGATAGGACCTGCGTGTTGTGATATTGGGGTCCCAGCACCCTCAAACCCCTAAACCGCATCATTTTGGTGGCCCATATGGGGAAACTGCCTAACCCCAAGTTCTTCTCCAGCTAAGACTGGAAGGTATGTAAGCCTCTCCCTCCCCTCCTTTCTTGCTCTGCGGTTGGAGGTGCTTTTCTGGCAGACAGTTATGAGGCTGTCTTGCACTTAGCCTGATCTCTCAGGTTCTCAGTCCACTGGGTTGGTTCAAGGCCATCGACCTGGGTACACCTTCCCCAGCATAGAGAACAAGGACAGATGCCCTATCTGGAAGTGTATGCTCAATTCTGCTAATTCCCTCGGCACTAGGGAATTGGGGAAAACTGCAGTTGCTTTTTGGTTCCCTGAGGCTTACTTACTCCCTTCCCTCTGCACCTCTGAATCCTCCTTTATGGAGGTTACAGGGAAAGTTAGAACAACTAAATACATCTTGGCAGATTCTGGAAGTTTTGTGATTTATCATTAAGGAGTTTTGAAACACCTGTACAACCTGGTCACTCCCTTCCCTTGAGTCAAGAGGGTATCTGTTAACCCCTCTCATAGGAGAAGAGAGTTTCACCCTTTACCTCTCACCTTTGATTTCATCCACCCCCACCTGTGAAAGGAAGGAAGGGGGAGGGGCAGCAGCTATGGCATGGGTCCCCACTGGCAATGGCCTTGGGCCCTAGGGCAACCTTTGCCTGGAAGAATCACCCAGGTTCAGCACATCCTGCTGGTAAAGAAGCTAGCCTCCGAACTTAGGTAAGCACGCTCTTCTTAAAGTTGTAGTTTTAACTGTTAATGATGAGATGTTGACTCTCTGTGTAAAGTAACTTGGAAAAAAGCATTTGACAAAACTGAAGTCACCTGATTGGTAATGGGTTTGTTTCAAGTTTCAAATTGGCAAACTTTTTGTATCAGTTATGTCAAGCAACTTCTCATAATTTGGTTACCACTAAAATAATTTGGCTATTTTGGGTTATTGTTTTAATGTGTAAACTTGCCAAAAAGCTTGTTTGGGCTATGTATGGCTTGCTGAGAATTTACAATTATTTAAGAATAATTGCTAAGGATTGGCTTTTTACACCAGGACAAATTTAAATTTGAGATGTAAATCCTGGAAAAGTTTTTCCTGAGCTGTGATTAGTAAAACTTGCTGTTTGAGGTAAAAGCTCATAGGATTTTATTTTGAGTTGTCTGATGGATGTGAAAGAAATGCCACAAGCTACTCAGAAAATGTGATACTGGTGGGAAGTCAGCATTGGGAAAAGCTGAGAGGACAATTTTAGCCTCAGTCTAAGATGGGATCCTCCTGGCTCAGTTTCCCCATTACATTCCTTTAAAAGTGAATGTTACCCACCTGGCTATTCCTGAATCTGGCTATGAGGTGGATCTGATAATGCATGGTTGGAAAACTGAATTATTTGAATCCAAACAGAGCTAAGGATGTTTTATCCTCTCAACGTTCGGCCCTAAATCTAGTCCCTGTTTTATATGTGGGCCCTGCAGTTTTTTCTGTTAGATTTATGTCTTCCAGACTATGGGCCATTCACCTACAGTTGGTAGCAAACAGCAAGTACCAGCCAATGTCCCCACATGATTCCCTGGATGCGGCCTGTGCTTGGTTCCAGTCAACCTCCTCTTTGGGACCCCCTTGAGTCAGGGGCAGCTCTACGCCCCTTGCCAGCAGGAAGCAGTTTCAGAAGCTGAGACCTTCACCCTTTACCCCAAAAGAATTTATATTCTTATTTGTTTGAGGGCGGAATGATGAGGATGGGATCTAGACGCCAAAAAGGAAAACTTGGACTTTCCCATGTGACCAAATCTCTGGCATTCTCCTGAGGCTATAATTCCATACCTCCCTATGGCCCCAGGCCACTTCCCATCCTTAATCCTATCTAGGCTCCATTCTCCCTCAGCCACCCCTGGAGTTCCATTACCTCATAGACTACTTGGCCACTCCTAGATTCCTCCCCATAGTCTTTCTGTATATAAGGTCCATCTTGTTTCTATTAAAATGCTTAGATTCTTATAATCTAGTCACTCCTGGGATTCTTATAATCTAGCCAATTACTAATGTTCAGACTCCTTAAGAGTCTGCCCAATATGGTGGATATTCTAATAAACCTTGTCTTTGGATGAAAAAAAAAACCAAACCAGGAACTAAATATACACAGCAAAGAGAATGCCTTATTTAAATAGAGACATATGCAGTGGAGAAAGAAAGAAACCTCATTCTAATTGTCAGTGAGAAAGTCCAATTGACCTTCCTTTGAATGATCATGAAGGAGATGCCTGGAAATACTTGGGAACCATTTTTGTGGTCTTTCACCTGGCATAAGTAGGTATATTTCAGACTATAAGATAGCCTAGGAGTAGGGTTAAATTATGGCTCCAAACACCCTTCCTCCATGGCTTAAAGCTTAAAACTGAAGAAAGAAAACATTTATTTGTGGAATATACCAGCTCTTAATGTTTTTTTTTTGTTGTTGTTGTTGTTGTTACATGTGGACCTTAAGTAACCTGAAGGTCCATTGAGTCTAACCCTAACCAAACCTTCACTTTTCAGATGAGGAAACAGAGAAGTTAAATAACTTGGTCAAGATCCCACATATTTCCAATTGCAGTAGCAAGAGTGGCTTTATTTAACAAAATTATCTAACTAGATTCTTTATTTGTCTGAATTATCAAGTGGAAATAAATATATTAAAATCCAGTATATTTCCTTGTTAAGCTGAAGTTTTCTTGCTTGAAAAAACAAATTAAAACCAACCACACCCTCCCAAGAGCATAACCGAGTGAGATTATTTTCCAAGTAAATCTTACTTCCTGTCCCTGACTTGGGGTGCTTAATCTGCACTTGATAGGTTCTGAACTGAATGTCTGCTTCTTTTTGGTGAAGATTTACTACCCAGTTTTGATATTGTCTTTGCCTTAGATTCTCTTCCTCTGCCAGTATCACCCAGCAATCTCTCCTCCTTGGAGGTTCACTATATGAAATAAATATCCTGTCCAGATTTTTGTTGTGGTCCATTAGGATCTAGATTATCCTCTTTTCTTGACTGGCTCACAGTTTATATCCAGATGAATCTTTGGCCTCCTAAATCTTAGAGGTTTCAAACATACATGATGCCTCTTCAAATTTTGACCTTCAAGTTATCAATCTCTTCAAGTCTATTGACTTTCCTCTTCTTCAGCAGCTCACAGGATGTTTATAACCTAGATAACCCATAACTATGCAGCCTTGATGATTTCACTCTCATCAATTGTTCTTGATTATTGTGTTTTTCCACTTCTCCCTGTCCGTCATTCCTTCTAAAACTATTTTTGTCCTTACGACCCTGTAGTTTATTACTGCTCTGGCCTTACTTTTCTCCATTCACAGCTGGGACTCTGGGGTTGAGTGGTTAATTCTACTCACTGTCCTTCACTGTCCTCTTGTCCTGCTGCCGTTCTCCTCTTTGCCAAACATCAACCTTGACTCATCCCCACCATCCACCTACTCCTGAGCTGCTGAACAAAGTTGTGACATCATGCTAAGTAGACCCATGGCCAATTCATGTTATCTAATCTTAAGCGCTCCCTCATTGTTGAACCACAACATTTTTCTTCTTCTTTGATCTCTTTATACTTAAGTTGCTATTCAAAAGCTTCTCTTTGATCCTCAAAACTCCCATCCCTTCCAAGATCTCTTAGTAGACTTCCTCACTTCCAACCGTACTGAGAAAATAGAGGCATCTGCATTGAGGAGCATGGAGGAAAAGGAAGCCTTTCTCCCCAAGTCAATCAATGAACATTTACTAAGTGCTTACTATGTGTGAGGCATCGTGCTAAGTGCTGGGGGTGCAAAGAAAGGCAAAAACATTTCCCATTGTTTCTTTGTATCCTCATTGCCTAGCACATTAAAGAATTTTTAAAAAATTGAATTGGAAAAATTTTATGAATAAAAATGGCAAGCCTATCTTTTTTTTCCTCCTTCTCTCTAGAACTTACAGCACGAGTAGTATTCTCCACCATCAACAGCCACTAATCATCTTGCCTCCACCTTTCTACAAGAGGCAATCTCTTCTGAACCCAAAAAATCCAAAACAGAACTCCGTTATCTTCCTCCTCCCCAAACCCTTCCCTTTTCTGAACTTCCTACTAATACTCCAAGTAGGGCTCCATCATCCTCCCAATCATCAAGGCTTGCCCTTGGTGTCTTCCTCACTTGCATTCACCCCACATATCCAATCTGCTACCAAATCTTGTCATTTTTACTTTGACAACATCACTGCTATATGTCCCCTTTTCTTGGCTCACACAGCCTCCACTCTACTTCATGCCTTCATCACCCATCTCTCTCTTAGACTATAGCTTTCCAACTGCTCTCCCGGCTTCAAATTTCTCCCTACTGTCATCTAGCTTCTATTCCCCTGGCAATGATTTTCTTAAAGCAAAGGTCTGCCCATGTCACTCCCCAGCTCAATAAAGTTTGGTGCTCCCTATTGCTTTCAGGATCAAATGCAAAGTCCTCTGTTTGGGATTTAAATCCCTTCATAATCTGACCCTTTCCCTTCCAATGATAGTTCCAGGTTCATTCGAAATATTAGATTCCCTTTCCCACACTCTGTGATCCAGCCAAACTGACCATCTTTGTTTCTCATACATGAAATTCTCTCTCTCGTCTCCATACTTTTGCACTGGCTGCCCTACATGCTTGCAGTGCCCTCCTTCCTCACCTCTACCTCACAGAGTCCTTCACTTCCTTTAAGATGATGCTCAAACACTCTCTTCTACATGAAACCTTTCCTGATCCCCCTGACTGCCAGTGTTCTCCCTCCCAAACTACCTTGTAATGAACTAATTTGTACCTATTTGTATTTATTCACCTTATAATTATGCTGTTTATATTTATATATGTGCTTCTTATCTTCTTCATTAGAATGTATAAATGACTATGTAGGAATTGTATCTTGTACTTACATTCCCAGACCTAATACAGTATCTGGAACATAGTAGTCATTTAATAAATACTATCTCCATTGGCCCACTTGCAGTTTCTCCCACATGGCTCTCCATTTTCCATTTTCATGCTTTTGTACTAGCTGTTTTTCACGCATGGAAAGTCTTTCCTGGTCTCCCAAGCTGTTACTGGCTTCCCCTATGAGACTACCTTCCTTGTACTATCTCTATATCTTGTCTATCCATAGTTATTTGCATGTTGTCTCCCTCATTAGAATGTGAGCTCCTTGAGGGTAGGAACTGTGTTTTTGCCTTTCTTTGTATCCCTAGTGCTTAGCTCTCTGTTTGGTTCGTAAAGACTTAAATACTTGTTGCCTGACTAGATGATTCAGGTGACAGTATATGATAATGGTAGAAAGGAGTCATTACTACTCTCATAAAGGGATTGTGGTCACAGACTATTTCCCCCAGGTCTAGAGTATGTCTTTGGCAAAATGTACAGTTGCAAGCCTCTGGTACTACTATTGGTGGTTTGTTTTTAAAGTATATATTGTAGAACACTGGCCCTGGAGTCAGGAGGATCTGAATTCAAATTTAGCCTTAGACACTTATTAGCTGTGTGACCTTGGGCAAGTCACTTAACTCCAGTTGCCTCCCCTCCTTTAATAAAGTATATATTCTGCAATACTTACTTTTCTAATGCCAAACAGAGATTCAAATATGATGGTACAAAAATCATTTTCTTGTCAGTTAGAATTCCATCCATCAGTTTCTTCACAACATCATCTGTCTCCAAAACAGGCCATAACCTTAAAAAAAGTGGATTTTTATTGGCTAAAACAGAAATCTGAAAAAAAAAAACTTTTGCAAATAAGCTCCCTTACTAAATTTTTTTGAATATTAGCAGTTTGCTTTGAGTCCCTCTCATACTATCTCCCCAAGCCCAGGGACCACACTTTGTTTCTATATACTTATTCTTCTACATGAAAAAATATGAAAAGGGTTAGATTTGTTCTTCTTGGCTCTAGAAGACAAGGTTTGGCCAATGGGTGGACCATTGTGAAGCTAAACATATTACAAACATGTGTTTTGATTCATTCAGCCTGGCACTTTACACGATGTACTCTGCATGTAAGTTAAATAAATAAGGTGATAATATATAGCCTTGTCATACTCTTTTCCAGTTTTAAACCAATCAGTTGTTCTGTGTTCAGTTTTTACTGTTGCTTCTTGGCCTGCATACAGGTTCATTAGGAGTCAAGTAAGATGAATGGCCCTCCAATCTCTTTGAGGACTTGCCACATTTTGTTGGGATCCACACAGTCAAAGGCTTTAGTGTAGTCAATGAAGCAGAAGTCGATGTTTTCAGGAACTCCCTTGTTTTCTCCACAATCCAGTGAGCATTGGCCACTGGGTCTCTAACTCTTCTGCCTCTTCAAAAACCAGCCTGCTCTTCTGATAATTCTCAGTTCACATAGAGCTGAAGCCTAGTTTGCAGAATCTTAAGCATAACCTTGCTGGTATGAGAGATGAGTGCAATTGTTTGGTAATTTGAACATTCTTTGGCATCACCTTTCTTTAGGACAGGGATGTAAATTGATCTTTTCCAATCCAGTGGCCACTGTGGAGTTTGCTGGCATACTGAATACAGCACTTTAACAGCAGTGTCTTTTAGGATTTTAAAAAACTCAGATAGAATTCTGTCACCTCCGTTAGCCTTATTGTTAGCAATGCTTCCTAAGGCCCACTTGACTTCATTCTCCAGGATTTCAGGCTCTAAATCAGTAGCCATCATGGTTATTAGTGATATTAAGATATATCTTGTACAGTTCTCCTGTATATTCTTGCCACCTCTTCTTAATGTCTTCTATTTCTGTTGTCTTGTTAATTTTTGTCTTTTATCACGCTGTGTGGGACAAGTGAATGTTTCTCATATGAAATGGAAGCTATGCCTCAAAATTTAGTTAAGGCTTTAGCATTAGCTGGGCCTAGGTTTCATTTTCCTGCAAATCATGGGATCGGGTCATACATCTGTTGCCCACCCCCTCCCTTGTTTTGTAACCACCACCCCAGCCTTATCTTTACCAAATAAGGCAATCCTCTAGCTGCCAAACTTGTTTTGGGTAAAAAAGTATTTCTTAGTTTATAAGTAGAATGTAAGGTCTCTCACCTCAAACCGTGAGGATAAAGAGATTGAGCTGAACAAGTGTGTGGGGGGGTTTCTTAGAGTTGTTTGTCTAAGGGTATAGAACTGCTTGTCTGCTGCTTGTAGCCTGCCTCCCTACTCCAGTCCACCCTGGGTAGGTGATTCCCAATTCTCTCTCAAGACTTGCTAAATTAAACTTCTGTTTCTACTGAGAGAAACCTCTGAATTTTTATTTGGGTAAGTGTTCTGTGTTCCACTGAATGCCCATTTTTGCATGAAACATTCCCTTGATAATCTCTAATTTTCTTTTCTCTTTTTTTGGTAAGGCAGTTGGGGTTAAGTGACTTGCCCAGAGTCACACAGCTGGTGAGTGTTATGTGTCTGAGGTCAAATTTGAACTCAGGTTCTCCTGACTCCAGGGCCAGTGCTCTATCCACTCTGCCACCTAGCTGCCCCAATCTCTAATTTTCTTGAAGAGATCTCTTGTCTTTCCCATTCTATTATTTTCTTCTATTTCTTTTGCTCATGTAAAAAAACTTTCTTATTTCTCCTTGTTATTCTCTGGAATTCTGCATTCAGCTAGGTACAGTTTTCCCTTTCTCCTTTCCCTTTCCTTTTTTCCTCAGGTATTTGGTTTTTTTTAATTAAAATTTTTTTTTAATTTAAGCTAGGCAGTGGGTTAAGTGACTTGCCCAGGGTCACAAAGCTAAGTAAGTGTTATGTGTCTGAGGCTGGATTTGAACTCCTGAATCCAGGGCCAGCTCTCTATCCACTGCACCACCTAGCTGCCCCATTCCTCAGGTATTTGTAAAGCTGCACAAGACCACCATTTTGTTTTCTTACTCTTTCCTTTCTTTAGGATGTTTTTTGATGCTGCCTCCTGTACAGTACTATGAACCTCTGTCTACAGTCTTTTAGGTACTCTATCTATCAGATCTAATCCCTTAAATCTATTTTAAACCAACTCAACATTCTTTTCTAAAATAGTCTATGTATCTCCTATCTCTAACAATGTCAGTGCTTATAGGAAGGTGTTGACACAGATCACCAGGATTTCATCTAACACCTAAAGCATTTTGTTTATAAAGTTAATAATACTTTAAAAAGTTAATAGATTTGAGTCCTAAGACTCTCTAGTCTAGAAGGAGTTGGTTGGCTTGATCTCAGTTTAGATGTGGTGAAGAAGGTTGTACTTATTTTCAAATCTATGTCAATACTGTTTAAGGTTTCTCTATTTCTATTAATAGGCTAACCAACCAAAGCCATGCACCCTATTGTATGGGAATCTTGAACTGCCCTGGTTTTAGGCAAAAATTTGTTCTGTTTTCATTTGTCCCCATTTAGCATTCCATCTTCCCAGCTTTTTGTCAAGGAAGGAACACATCTGCACTCAGACTGATCTACTACAGAGAAACCGTGGGTAAGTCACTTGCTTTCTGGTTCTCTTTTTTTTTCATCTGTAATATGAAGGAATCAGAGTAGAGGATTTCTAAGATCCCTTTAATTTTTATTCTAGCCTTTCAATAACCTACAGAAGAAATCCTAACATAAATATAAGAAAGTACAAGGGCCTTAATTTGCCATTTCTTTTGGAAATATTTTCATTATAAAGGAGGACTTCAGGACAATCATCCCTTTCAATTCAATCAATTAATAATTTCAATTATTTAACAAATTTAATTATATAAGTAATAATTTTAAAGTTCCTACTATGTGCCAGGGACTGTGATGAGTGCCAGAGCACAGACAAAAATGAAACAAACAGTCCCTGCCCTCACGGGGCTAGCATCCTATCAACTAGTATTTATAGAGCTATAAGTAGTGAAATGAAATGGTTCATAGAACCATGAAATTTCATAGGTGGAAGAAGCCTAAGTGGCCATTGGGTATACCCTTATATAGACTCATCCTTGATCTTAGGGAGTTGATAGCATTAATTAAGCAACTAGAATTACACAATTACATGCCAGACAATGGTTGGTGGGGGTAAGACTATTATGGTGTCCTTCCCATACCTTTCTGCTTATTTGTGGAGGCTGAATATTACCTTAGATATCCACGACGTAATTCGTCCTTACTTTATTGGTAGCTGATTGACCACTACTGCCAGTTTTTTAATGCTTTCTACTTTCTAACTACTACTTTTATCAGAAGTGCCAAGAGATCCACTTAATTGGAACTTTATAAACTGAAAGCTCAAACTTTAGATGCAATATACCCTCAGAAGAAGCTGATTTCTTTACAGGCAAAGGAAGAAAAGCCCAGGGGCTGGAAAGCATTTTGTTTGGGTTTTTCATCTAAACCCTGAAGATTCATCATGGAACTGAATGCTAAGGCCACATGGTTAGAGACTTAAAAACAACCGTTCAGACAGATGGCAGATGCTGGGAAGCTGAGAACCTGTGGAATTGCAGAAGGGGAACTTCCAGGATCAGTTTTGCTATGTGTAGCCCAGGCTAGAGACTGAGCCGTGTACATTGGCTAGCCTCCACTCCAGACAACCAAAGAACTAAGTTCCAGAAAGGGATTGATCATCTCTTAACAACTGCTCATTCATCTTTCCCTCCTTATGCGAGAGCTGGCTGTATTTGACACTCATTTCTGACTTGTTTCTTACTTTGTTTTGTTAATCTTTTTATATTTTACTTTAAAAAAAATTGTTTTAGTTTTCACAAGCATCTGTAGTGGAATCTGAATATTATTTATTTTATATTTTCTGAAATAGTCCTGGGGTAGGAAGAACCATAGTGCCTAAGTGAGATTTATGCAGAAAGAAAGGTAATGCAGTGAGATTCCAGTGTCTGTCCAATGGTTAGAAGATATTTCTACTCTAATCTCTAAGCTTTTTATTATTCATTATTTTACTAATGAGTATTTTATTATTAATTACTTCATTAATAATTAACAGTCTATATTTTGTAAACTTTCCAAATAAGCAGAGGAAAGGATCTTTGTGACTCTGGGACATTGCTCCTAGCAAAAACTGACTTTATCTCTTTGGTGTGTTACAGTCTGTGTTGCTTTGAACAGGGTGGTTGGGGCAGTCTCCACCTCTGAGAAAGGGGAAGAGTGGCATCTCTGTGCTAGTTCTATGGGCATGGAGATAGACATAGTACTGTGTCCTTCCCTTTTCTTTTGCAGGGAGAAATGAGCAGCTAGCTCTAGCTGGCCAACTCTGCCCCTCACTTAGAGGCATATACACAATATAGTCAGATTGGTAGGTAAAATTGTGTTTTTTCCTCCAGTCTTTAGGATTCTCTTAGCTTTGATCTGCATGAAAACTAGACTCCTTAATTACTATTCCATACTCATCTGTCATCCTCACCTTGTGCTTGGGTTCTTGGTAAATCCAGTATTCACAAAAACAGGACAGAGACAAGAGGTCTTGATTCCATTTTTTCCCAGGGCATCAACTTCTGCCGTTAGGGCTCTGTGAAACCCAACAGCAGCAAATTTACTGGAACTACAAAAGAATTATGAAAGTATGAGGCGCCTTTCTTTGTGAGAGTTCTACAGTATAAAGTGTTTATTTGATTGGAAAATGAGAATATGCTATCCAACTTCACAAATTCGTCTATGTTGAATTTTCTTAGGTTATGAAAAAATCTTAATTTAGATTCCTTACATGCTTAAAGAGAGTAATATATAAAAGAAAATTGTAAAATTGGCCATTTTCCAGGGACAAATCATGTCTATTACTCACAGGCATAAATGATTTTTAAAAATGTCAACTGTAACAACTTTTAGCTAATCATGAATTATCTTTACAATGTCTCTGACTTCAATTTCTGTAGCTTTAATTATTTTTTCTTATGTAGGAAAAAAATAAATGTGAGTGCAAAATACTAGAATAATGATAGCTATACTGAAATACTTGTAGTATACAATGGGAAGAGTCCTGGCTTTGGAGTCAGAGGATCAGAGTTTCTATCCTGTCTCCCCTAATTAGGAGCTGGGTGGTCTGGGGCAAGTCTCTTCATCTCTCTGGGGTTCAGTTTCTCCAGAGGTAAAATAAGGATAGTGAATTAAACGGTCTTTGGTATCCTCCTAGCTCTAAAGTTATGACTCCATGGTGCACATTTTCCTATTAGCATTCGCATCTACCTTTGCAGTTTCCAATCTGGAAAAGCTACCACTTCAACTTCTTAATTTTGTTTCTAACATGCCCATAATATATTAACTCCTTCAAGAAAATAATAAAAAGAAAAAAGTTAGCTGCTTTTCACATGGGTGGTGGATAAAGGAGAGTGGATAAAATGCTGCACCTGCAGTCAAATCTAGTTGTGAAGATCTCTGGGGTCATGGGGTTCTTTAAGACTCAATTTTCTCATGTACAAAGTATAGATGACATTAAATATACTACTTATCTCCCAGTGTTGCTGGGAGGAAAATGTTGCAAACTTTAAAATTCTGTATAAATATGAGCTGCTGTTCTTTAGAGGAGAAGAAAAGGGGGAATTCCTGTAAGTTTGGATTTTTTTTTAATATCAAAGTTGGGTAATTCCCATATTTATCTGGGGAGGAGAAAGGAGCTCGAGCACAATCACATGCACATACTGCTATGCTTGCACGGCCTCTTTGTCTTTCCTTGGGCATATCTACATTAGGTCTGTCAGGGAGAGCACAGAGCATGGCCAAAAATATGGTGCTCAGGTACCCACTAAGCCTCTGACATACACTTCCATTATCATAACATATTACAAGTGAGTAAAGATCTCGTCAAAATATTGACAAGCTGATGGTATTTTTTTTAAATCTGCAGCATGGCAGATGGTGTAAGGCAGAGGTAAGAAACTGGGATAGCTTTTGATAGAATTTTCAATGTGGAGTTTCGTATGAGTCTTATGTTGCTACATGCCCCTTTTCAGTGTTTTCTTCTGCAGATAGGCATTGGCACCATATTTGTTAGTCTAATGCCTACCTGGTTTAACATTATTATGTAAAGAGATGATAGAAAAATAAACAACAGTTCACACACCAAGTCATTTGAAACAAATATATACACAAAAATTCTCTTGCAAGAGATCTCCAGCTGGCTGGGCACTGGCCCTGAGGCTATCACATGTAGGTATAGCCTTTCTGCTTCCATTGTTCTTTATTTCAATGTACATTAGAGTTCAAAGAACATTATTTATTTTCATATGGTTATCTTTGACCTCTGTGATTCAGATCCATACTGTTTACAAATCTAAAAGTAGTTCAGATATGCATAACATCATCTTTTCTGGTTCAGGTAAATATATTACAAACTGTCTTTGCTCTAGAGTTCTGAAAATACTAGGGAGGGGGTGGAGGGCTTGAACAATCCTTCAAAATAAGAAAGAAGAAAAATGCCTTAATAGAAATCAATACATACCAATAAGGGATAAGATAAGGAATCACTCCATGTCCACATATGGATGCCACAGTGATGATGTGACCATGGTTTCTCTGCATCATGGCAGGCAGGAGCGCTTTAATAATCTTAAGAATAGTTTAAAAGGGAGAGAGATGGAGAAATGGACATTACTTTCAATATGTTGCTTTCAATCTTAGCCAAGAAAGATGCTAACAGGAATGAAGGAATCCTTCTTTCCCAGGTCCATATTTGTGGTTTATACTTACCCAGAAGTGACCTAGAATGTTGACTTCAAATGTTTTGGTAATTTCCTCATCTTTGGTGCTCAGAAGATCCGCTGGGTAAATCGCTCCAGCATTATTCACCACGATGGTCACATCACCAATGTCATTCTTTATCTTTTAAAATTTAAAGAATAGATTAATATTGTATATCACAACACAACCCTGAAGGTTTCAGGTAGAGGTAAGCAAGGACTAAATTATTTCTTCAGTTTGCATTGTGAGGAAGCACAGCGCCCCCCCCCCCAACAAGCCCCCCCTTAAGCAGGAAGTATATTAATGCAAACATTCATTCATATATTCATTTATTCAATTCCTACTGTCTGTCAGGTATTATGCTAGGCATTGGGGATACAAAGGAAAAAAATATAATCCCTGCCCTCAAGAAGCTTATACTCAATTGAAAGAAAACAATATAGTTATTTGGGTTGGGGAAGATAGGACTCGGGACAAGTCACTTAACCCCAATTGCCACACTCACACTCACACACACACACACACACACACACACACGCACACACACATGAAAAAAGAAACGAAAAATATTATGTCATAACATAGTAATGTTATATAACACAGACTAGCTGAGTTACTCTGGGCAAGTCATTTAATCCCTCAATGTTCTAGACAACACTCTAGGATTATAAATTGTGGATAAAGTACCCCAACTTGCATTTATCAAGGGAGTTTCCTCACCCAAGAATTCTCTCTGTGAGTGAAATTACAGGTCCAATCCCTATCTATAGCCAATATTTACATAATGCTTTAAGTTTCCAAAGCAATATACATATATTATTTCTTGTGATCCCCACAACAATACTGTGAAGTCGGTCGTATTATTGTCCTCATTTTTTAGCTGAGCAAGCTAAGGCTGAATGGGTTAAGTGATTTGTCCAGGGTTACCCAGCTAGTGTCTGAGGCAAGATTCAAAGTTAGGCAGGGATGTGCTAGTAAATATTTAACAACCAGCTCTTCCTCCCTCCCCCTCCCCAAATGTACACAACACACACTTTTATGTATAATCTGCATTATTAACATTTTCTCCATCATTTTCTCAAATCTAGACAATCAATCAATCAATAAATCTAATTTGTAGCATTTGCCAATTTGCAAATTGCAAAGGCTCACTCTGATCTGTCCCTCCACGTTAGTCTTGCTAACTGTAAGCCTAGAGCTCTGTCCACTGTACTGCCCAGCCAGAGCAATGCAAAACAGGAGTGCTTAAAAAAGTAATGGACCCGATTAAAAAAAAAATTCCATTTTCTTTGGAATATATCTTGTCTCCAGCCAAGCTCCTGTGCACATTTAAGGTCAATAATAACATGACAGTGAGAGCCAGCTCAGTGTGTTAGTGTATCTATGTGTGTGTATGTGTGTGTGTGAGAATGTGTATGTGCACGTGTGTGTGTGTGTGTGTGTGTGTGTGTGTGTGTGTGTGTGTGTGTGTCTGCTGACTCTACCTGAGAGGCAAGTTCCTTGACCTCTGGATGTCCCAGGCAATTCTCTTACACCTATGAGAACAGCTGCATTAGTAGATAAGAGTTTCTTCATTGGAAATTCCCCTTACACTAGTGAAAAAATCACAGCTCCAATAAAAACAAAACAAAACAAAACGAAAATGCTTAGATAAGAGGGTATGCTATGTAGGCAGGGAGAAAACCCTATCACAGAGCACTGCTTCAAGGCTGAGAATAATGCAAAAGGCTTTAGTCTAAATGTTTGGGTCAGTCCTTTCTTTTCTCCAGAATCCCTTGTATTGATTCATTAAGAGTTTGTGCAGAGATGTACTTAGCCCTTACCTTGTCTATCATGCTATAAATTTCCTCTTTTTTGCTGCAGTCAACCACAAAAGCATGAGCTGTGGCCCCTAGTTTTCTGCATTCAGCAGCTGTTTCTTCAACACCGTGCTGCAAATGGAAAAAGAGATGGAAGGGGGAAAGCAACAACCACTGATATAGCACCTACTGTGCTAAACACTTTGCAAATATAATCTTATTTTATTCTCACATCAACAGCCACATGAGGTAAGGTACTGTTATTATCCCCATTTTCCAATCGAGGAAATTGAGGCAAACAGAAGTTAAGTGACTTGCCCAGGGTCACACAACTAGTAAGTGTCTGAGGCTGGATTTGAACTCAGGTCTTTCTCTATCCAGGTCTCTACTGTGCTACTCAGAAGGTAAAATGACAGGGATGGGAATAGAAAACAAGAGGGTTAAAACTGTTCACAGAGTGTCTTCTTCCTGGAACTTAGTCTTTTGAATATGACAGTAGCTCTCATGTATGTGGTTCAGGTGTTTTCAGTTGTGCTCAACTCTTTGTGAACCTATTTGGGGTTTCCTTGGCAAAGATACTACAGTGGTTACCATTTCCTTCTCCAGCTCACTTTTTAACAGATGAGGAAACTGAGGCGAACAGGGTCAAATGACTTACCCACGGTTATATAGCTGGTAAATGTCTGAGGCCAGATTTGAACTCCAGGGCTGGTGCTCTATCCACTGCACCTAGTTCTTACGTAGAACCTTTTGATTAATTAATTAAATTTTGGGGGGGGAGGCAATGGGGTTAAGTGACTCTCCCAGAGTCACACAGCTAGCAAGTGCTTGAGGTCAGATTTGAACTCAGGTCTTCCTAACTCCAGGGCCAGTGCTCTATCCACTGCACCACTTAGCTGCCCCCAGAAACCTTTGATTAAAAATAAAATGAAAAAAACAAAAAAACCTTTAACAGAAACCTTGTAGTAAAATGTTCTAACATTTTTATTTTAATGCCTATTGAAAACAATATAAAGTTCATTTAAAAAATCAACTCAGGGTTTTTCAAGATTCCTCATAGTTTAGGAAATGGGAAAGACATCAGGAGTGAATTATGGGTTCTAATAAGCAGAGGAACCTTTCTACCTGGCTGTTCTCCCAGGAAATATTCGTTTTAGGTCTAGAGTCACAGTTCCTAAACTGTGTTCCATGAAAAATGATTCTCAGAACTTCCCCCCCAGCCAGCCTTCTGCTCTAAAGTTCTTCACAAGGACATTACTGATAATAAGATTGCATTGAGTCTTATCCTGATCAAACCCCAATCCAGGCCTGAATTGATTTAATCTGCTCAGGCTTGGGTGAAAACAGATTCTTCTGCCTAGAGAATCCAAGACCGAGAGTGGTTGGGTTGGAGGGTGTTCTAAGAGAACAAGTATTTTCTCTGTCTGGAGGCAGAATGATGGTGGGATGACATCAGCCCTTTTTGAAAAGCTATTATACCAGGATTAAGTGAGCCCTAGGTGGCCCAGCGGATAGAGTCACTGGACCTGGAGTCGGGAGGACCTGAGTTCAAATTTGACCTCAGACGCTTGACACTTACTAGCTGTGTGACCCTGAGCAAATCACTTAACCCTGATTGCCTTGAAAACAAACAAACAAACAAACAAAAAACCTTACTCAAGACCCTCATTTTAATATAGCCCACCTCCCAGAATGTTGAACAATCAGAGTTGATTGGCACCTGTTGAGAATATGTACTCTTCGAACGGCATATAACTGTACCCCCAACCCCTAAATTGAGCCAGTTGTGGACTGTAACTCCCATTCAATGCATGTTGCCAGCTTGTGAGTGAAATAAAACATAGACACAACAACCTAATCTATTTGTTTCTTTCTTAGAACAAACTATATTTGGGGTCAACAGTTCTTTGATCCCTAGTTCTCTGCTATTTATGCTTTCCCCTCTAAAATATCAAATAATGACATAATATATCCAAATACTTATTAAATGTTGCAATTTTTTCCAATATTAAGTTAAATATTTTCTAATATTGCTCTAAAATTTTTGTCTTCCCTCCTCTTTGCCCTAGGAATATTTCATAGCCACAGGTCTCCCAGGACCAGCATTCATGGGTTCTAGCAATATGTTTAAAATTTAAAATTCATATTCAACAAACATTTATTAAGTGACTACTATGAGCCATGGCCCGGGCTAGGTGCTGGGTTTACAAAAACCTTAAGGAGTTTATAATCTATCAGGGGCCACTCAACTTTTATAAAGATAAAGAGAGCACAACCAATTGGCAATGAGGGTGAGATGGGAAACAGAGGAATGCTTTACCTAGAAAGTTGTCTCTGAGCTAAATCCAGTCAGTTTGTCTGAAATGTAGAGTTTGTGAAGGGGAATAATAGAAAATTAGTTTAGAAATGTGGAAGTCAGACTGGGTAGGGCTTTAAAAGTCAGGCTGAATAGTGTGCATTTTATTCTGGAAACAATCGAGAACCTTAAACAGATTTCCCTCTCTGTCATCTCCACTCATTGATCTGCTATCTCTCCCTGTCCATTGGCTCATTTCCTTCTACCTACAAACATGCTCGTATCTCCCCTCACTTCAACCTTCCATCTCTGCAATCATCCTCGATCTCTTCTGGTCTTTGGAGCTAAACCCTTCAAAAAGGCCTTCTACTACAGATGTCTCCACCTTCTACATACTCTCCAATTCAGTGAGACTGGCCTCCTGGCTGTTTTGTGAACAAGACACTTCATCTCTCGTCTCAGGGCATTTTCTGTGGCTGTGCCTCGTGGCTAGTCCAGTCTACCTCCTCTGCTCTGCCTACTGATCTCCCTGGCTTCCTTTAAGTCCCAACTAAATACCACCTTCTACAGGAAGCCTTCCCCTGCCCCTCTTAATTTCAGTGCCTTACCTTGGTTAATTATTTTATCCTATTTATACCTTGCTTTACTTATATTTGCTTACATATTGTCTCCTCCCTGAGATTGTAAGCTCCTTGAGGGCAGGGGCTGTCTTTTGCCCCTTTTTGCATCCCTGCACTCAGCACAGTGCCTGGAACATAGCAGGCACTTCATAAATGTTTATTGATTGATTCAGATATTTTCCATGGTCAAATTAGTTTGGAAAATGCTGGTCCAGAATCTCACCTACAGCAGTGGTATATAGTCAGCTACTATGCTCTCTAGACATAATTTATTTGTGAATTTATTTTGTTTTTCCTATAACTTTCTCCTTAAATTCATGCTGGAGACAGTTATTTGGATAAATAGTGGATATAGTGCTGGGCCTGGAGTTTCAAATCCAGCCTCAGACACTTAGCTATGTGATGCTAGGCAAGTCACTTAATTTCTGTTTGCCTCAGTTTCCTTATCTATAAAATAGGGATGATAATAGCACCTACTTCCCAGGGTTGATATGCGGATCAATCAAAGTAATAATTGTATAAAGCCTTAGCACAGTGCTTGGTCCTAGTAAATGCTGTATAAATATTAGTAATTATTATTACATTAGTATCTTCTGCGTTCATGTCACATTCATTTCTACACATACCCCTTCCTCCCCCCACTTCCCCAGCCAACAATCTTTGTAACAAAGAATTTAAAATAAAAATTGAAAAAATAAAGAGAAAAAAGCAGTTCAACAACCACCTTGCATGAAGATATCAGAGTCCATCTGACAGGTTTGCAGTATTCTGCACTCCTTTTAAAAATTTAATATTTTAATTAAAATACTTAATTTAATATTTTATTTAATATTTAAATTAAGTATTTAAAATATTTTATTTAATATTTTATTTTTTCCCCAGTTACATGTAAATTTTTAACATTCATTGAAAAATTTTTTTGAGTTTCAACTCTCTCTCTCCTTCCCTCTCCCCCTCATTGAGAAGGAAAACAATCTGACATAGGTTATACATGTGCAATCACGGTCAAACATATTTCCACGTTAGTAATGTCATAATTTCTGTACTCCTAATCCCCCACCTTTGTAAAGAAGCAGAAGGCATGTTTTCTCTATTTTTCTCTAGAGCCAAGCTAATTGGTCATTATATTTATGCAGCATTCCTGTTCTTCTTTTGTTCTATGTACATTGTCAGAGTTATTGGGCATATTATCTCCTGGCTCTGCTTACTTCATTCTGGATCTGTTTGTATAGCTTTTACTGTAACTTTCAAGAATGCCCTCTTGGAACTTTTTTTTTTGGAGGCAATCAGGGTTAAGTGACTTGCTCAGGGTCTCACAGCTAGTAAGTATCTGAGGTCACATTTGAATTCAGGTTCTCCTGCCTCCAGGGCTGGTGCTCTATCACTGCGCCACCTAGCTGTCCCTTGGAGCTTTTTCAAAGGCAGAGTGGTCTTGTAACTTCAAGAACATTCCTATAGGATGTGCGCAGTAAGGTGTAATGAAAGAAGTTTATCGAGTCTGGAGAGAATCTAGATTTGAAGAAGAAGCAAACAGTACTCCCTACGTATTCATAAACTAACCATGGATGATGAACTGAAATCATCATCAAAAGGAAACCACTGGACACACTGAAAGCACAGCTTTGTCCTGAGACCCTCCTGGTGATTTTTAGCTTAAAGTAAATATGCGGCTCCCTTCTCCTGATGTAACTGCCTTGGTGTTCTTTCATGAATATTTCAGGCGATATGGTGCTTTTACTAGGCTTTCTGATGGGGGAGACTTGTTTGGTACCTAACCCTGGATGGTTTTATTTATTGGAGAAGTAAAGTTCAATGAAAACTATGGGGGTTTTATCTTGGGTCTTATAATGGTTTCCTTTAGCATTTTTATGACTACACTAGATTGGTCTGTAAGCCAACCTTACAAGCTGTCCCTATTTATAGAGTTACAAAGTTAAGATCCCTGGTGGAGTCAAAATCAAACCCTATAAAGGTACCTTCCAGTCATGGAGCTAACCTTACGTCATTGCCTTTTCTTGGATCACATACAAGTAGAACTGGTGTAAAGGTAAGCCTTTCAGGAAGCCATGGCTAATTGGACCCCGTATGATCCAGTGGCTGTCCATTTACTTCCATAAGTCATGTCTGTAGGGGTTGGGAGTGGGAGGGTGGGGAAGAATCTGCTCTTACTCCATTTCACCTTCCTCACTGCCCCCATACCCGTAATCAGTTATTAAGATGAACCTGAGTTTTCATTAGGAAATCTATCTCTAGATTACAAAATGGTCACTGAAATATGAAGTTGGTTTTACATGACAGGTTGAGTTTATCTTCAACCTTGGCTGCTCTTTCTGTGTTATATTTACTCTGCGTATCACATCTCTTTCCCAAGGCAACACTTTGTATCACCAAGGGCAAAATGGGAATATGGCCCTCAGGCTGTAGGAGTAAAGGACCCAAGTCCAGTGGAAAATCAAACATCTCCCACTGCTGCAAAATGTCTGAGTCAGGCATTGTTCCAAATTGTAAGTCGCAGAGTCCTGGGGTTCAGAGAGACTTCATGAAGCCATTTTATTTATTGTCTAGGCAGGAAGCTAACTACACAGTCCCTTCATGGTACAATACAATTTTTGCTTCTGATACAACTGAGACTTACAAAATTTAAAAATCTCTAAGAAAAATCTTGCTTTCCTAAAAGGACATATCTGGATAATTATCTAAGATAGTAGTTTCTATTGACTATTTTTCATGGACAGAGCCATATTTTCCACTTCTCTTTCTTTCTTATTCCCTTTATCTCTCTGTTCCCTGCCCTTTCCCCCCATGGCTTCTGCATGTTTCTTGGTTTTTATCTTGCTGTCTTCTTAAGCTTCTTGAGGACAGACTCCAATTAGTCATTTTAATATTTATCAAAGCATGTCCAATGAGGGTCTACCAGATACTTGTTAACTCATAATATGTCTTAGCTTAGAGAATTTTGTAATTACTTAGTAGGAAAAACTGAAGATTAGCTTCCTAAAGTCAAAATTATAGAGTAACTTCTTTGAAGATTTTATATCTTAAGATATATACGTGAAGAGAATGAGTGTTAACTATGTATGAACAGAGATAATTCTTTCCTGGTTTGCCTAGTGTTTGGAAAATACATATAATCTTCTAGTGGGAGGCTTTTTTTTTCTAAACAAATACTCAGAAGAGACTGAAGAGATCAGGCTTGTTTGCCTTGGGTGGGGCAGGGTGGTGTTGGTGGGGTTGGTGATGTTGGGGTGGGGGCTGGATGGTGGGAATGGCAGTCGGTAGGTGGGGATTAAGGGGTGCAAGTTGTAGATTCTGAATGTTCCCCTCTGTCTCCTGTCCTCTGGTTAACATAAATGTGAGGGAAGGCAAGCATATATGAGAAGGCAAATAAACTATATACCTTCCTTCCCTGTGTCAGGGCAAACTTGACCTTCAGAAAGGATCATGTTTCTTAGACTTAATATCTTTGTTTATTGTTGCTTAATATGACCAAGCTTTCTCCTTTACTTTTTTTTTTTTATGAAATATGAGAGCTAGGTTATTTGTTCATCTGGCATCTGGGTATAAGTGGGGAAAAGGTTTAAGGTGGTATTGTTGACATAAGGCAGTGCTGGAGAGATTGTATCCCCTAATACTCTGCCATCTTCCCATTACATAGATTGTATGATGGGAGGGATTTTTAGTCTTACCAATATAATTTACAATGAAAATTCAACTGATTCAAGGAAATCTGGCTCCTCCAGCATATTCTATGATGAAATTCATATATATTTGTTACAAAATATTTGGCTACTATGCTTAATTCCATGCATCTCTGTTTGGGGCATACAAAGGCTCTGGTCTATAAAGGAAAAAGAAATATGGGATGTTCAGAAGAAAATATGACTACAAAGAGAACTAATTTTTTAAAATCTAAACTGAGTTTCTCAGTTTTAAAAGAAGTTCTTTACTAATTCCTTTGGACACCTATAAAATGATCTTCTACTTCGTGATTTCACTGGAGGAATACTTTTTAAAAATATTCATTTGGCAAATTAAAAAGAAAAGGTAAAAATCCATGAAAAGTTAATGTATTAAGAAAAGCTCATAAAAAGTACAAGGGACTTTTCTGGGAAATCTATCAGCATCTTAGCTAGTAAAAGATTGTATTAGAACACTTAATGACATGCAGTTTCTTCTTCATGTCACAGAATTTTAGGAAGGCTATCTGGCTAGAATAAACATTTCTCAGCTCAGCTACAAATTTGTATTTTAAAAAATATTTATTTTAAAATTTTGAGTTCCAAATTTTCTCCTTCCTTTTCACCCCTCCCCCACCCATTGAGAAGGCAAGCAAAATGATATGAATTATATACGTGAAATCATGTAAAATGTATTTCTATCTTAGCCATATTGCAAAAAAAATAAAAGCAAAAAAAGTGAGAAAATTATACTTCAATTTGCACTCAGAGTTTATCAGTTCTCTCTCTGGAGGTGGACAGCATTTTTTCATCATGAGTCCTTTAGAATTGTCTTGCATTATTGTATTGATCAGAGTAGTCAAGTCTTTCACAATTGATCATCATTACAACAGCTCAGCTGCATTGATAAAAGCTTTATGCAACAAAAAGAACTCTAGAATTCTAGGTTCAAAGTAATGACATCATGCAGCTCAGAAATTCTGTTAACATGGCCATCTATAATTCCCTGCACAGCAAAAGAACAAGAAAGGGCCCTCCTCACCAACCTTTTACTCTTGAATTCTAAGGACTTTAGAATTGTTTTCATTAAATTTATAATATACACAAACAGGACTTCAAACCACTACTCCCTGTGTGACCCTGGATAAGTCACTTCACTCCTTTGGGGCTCACTTTCTTCATCTGTAAAATGACCAGGGACTAGACTAATTTCTTTTTGTCAAGAACCCCTGGGGCAGTCTGATGGAGCCCCCTTTTCAGAATTTTTTTTAATGTATTAAATAAAATTCATAGAATGCTAAAGAAAATCAGTAATACTGAAATACAATTATCAAAATATTTATAAAAAAAGATAAGGAGTTAAGAGCACCTGAAGTAGGGTGGCCTCTGAGGTCCTTACCAGCTCTGAATCGATGATTCTAGGGCCACTTGATTTGATAATAAAAAGACAGGAATGGGCTACCTCCAAGATTCTTGTAAATCAAAGATGAGGAAAACTAGGCATGGAAAGTAGCAGTTGCCAATTTGAAGTGAGAAGAAAATCAGAAGACTTTTTTTATTGAGCCAAAAAGGCTCAGTAAAAAGCTCCTTTGATGACCTTAAGAATCTTTTTTTAAGACCAGCAGACCACGTTACAAGGCAAGTGTCATTAAAGATGGTGGGTCTGACAATATGAATGGCAACTCAAATCCAACACTAGTAAATGAAAATTCTCCACAGAATTGAGATGATCTGAAGCTTAGTGGCATGATCCCTTTGGAGGGAGGAAGTTTACTTCTCTCTCCTTCGAGAAATACTGATAGAGTGAGCTAGATTTCCTCACATGTTGTGCTCTGTGAAAGGGAGGCTCATTCATCACTGTGGGGTCCTATACGGAGCTCTAAGGCTTCGTATACATCATGTATAATGGGAGAATAGAGCACCAGAGAGTTAATTTTCAAAGATGTTTCCCCAAGTTTTAAAACTGAGAATGCAAAAAAAGAAAAAAAAGAAGCTAAAACTCTCCTGGTTTCTTTACAAGGTTCTCAGCTGAGTTTTGTTTTTTTTTCTGCTTTTTGGTGAGGCAGTTGGGGTTAAGTGACTTTCCCAGGGTCACACAGCTAGTAAGTATCAAGTGTCTGAGGCCAGATTTGAACTCAGGTCCTCCTGACTCCCAGGCCAGAGCTCCATCTACTATGCTGCCTAGCTGCCCCGGCTCCGTTGCTTTTTAAGAAGTGTAAAACACTTGAAAGATATTGTCTCATGCTTTGATCGTCACAACAGTACAGATATTATCTTCATTTTACAGATGAGGAAATTGAGGCTGAGAAAGGTTGAATGACCTGCAGAGAGTAACATAAGCAGGAAATGTCTGAAATTGGATTCAAACCCAAATCCTCTTGACTCTAAATCCAGTATTTTTTCCTCCAGGCCACACAAATTGAGAAGTCGAAAGAAATAAAAATGTATTTCATTACCTTATTAATATCCCACAGAACCAGTTTGCTTTTGTGTTTGGCAAATTCGTAGGCAGTGAGTCTCCCAATTCCATGTCCGGAGCCAGTAACTAAGACAATCTCTCCATTGACAGACTTCCTTTTCACTGGAATGAATAGCTTCACCAAGGCCTCCAGGTAGGAGTAGATGACAATGGCCAGAAGGAGAAAGAGTTCTAAGAAGATGTTCATTGTTCTGACTGCAGTTCTCTCTCCTAACTTATTATTTTCCTTGAGTGGAGAGAGCCACAGTATGGAGAGAGGTAAGTGTCAAGAAGGTTGGAGCTCTAGTTGTGTCCCAGGTATTAAAGGGAATGGGGGGGTGATATGCAAAGCCACAAGAGCAGGCTATCTTCTCACGCTCTGTTGATTCTCTTGCAATAGACTCACTTGGAGTGGTGCCAGGTGCTGACAAACGCCTGCACAAAAGGTGACGAGGAGTTAGCCTATTCATGGCATTTGTTTGCAGAACAACTCTGAAAAAAAAAACAACTTCAAATTTTTAAAAAATAAGTTTTTATTGATAGTTTCTTACATTGCCAAAGTTATCCCTATCTCATAGGACAAATATTTTTTTAGGGAGGAAAAATAGCTAGCACCATTGATCAATACACTGAAAGAGTCGAAAAACACATGCAGTGGGCCATCCCTGGGGCACCTCCACAGAAGGGTGGGTTGGGAGAATCCTCTCATGTCTCTCCATTTAAGTCCTTGCAGAACTATTCTAAAGTGCCTGGTATAATTAGAGAATTATTAGATCCAGGGTGATTCTATAAATACTACATAAGTTAATGGAATTGGCTTTTTTTTCCCAGAAAAATGAACATTCGCCTGAGAGAAAAAAAGAATATGGAAATAGGCCTTCAAAGAAATTTCTAAGAGAAAAAAGCTTAGGGGCTTCAATTTAAGAGTTTGACAAATGAAGCTCAATTATTTGGCTAGCTGATGGTTATTTCCAAGACATGTTTTCAAAATTCACATCTCACCATGTAGAGGAATTGACCATGTAGTTCATAAGCAGCAACTATCTGCTTACTTATTTACTTAAATTATAAGTTCTAAAACAATTGATTTATGCAGTAGGGAGTATAAAGCTCAGTAATGGGGGAAGTCTGGAGCCTTACTGAAAATATGAACAATACAATTTATAACTCTTTAGTGATAAGGTGGAGATCTGTGAACATTTGAAATTCAAGAGCAGAAAGCAGGGCACCTATTAAATAGAGACTGTTCTCATAAATCTACAGAGCTTCAGACTTTATTCTCATTCTGTAGACAATCTTCATTAACTTAGTGGCTATTCATTTTGGTTTATATCTCCTTAACACACACTTAAATTCTAAAAGGGAGAAAGTTTGTTTTGATTTATTTACGTCAACATAATTAACCTTGCTCAGAATTCATTTTATTAGTGTCTCATTGAGTATCATTTGAATTTATACATTGTTGAGGAAAGAAAATTTTGTTTAAAAATATTGATGTTTACATAATGCTTTAAAGCTTGCAAAACTCTACACATAGTTTCAACATGTGACTCTCACAGCAGCATTGTAAGGTAGGTATTGTTATCGTCATTTTAAAGAGGAGGAGGGGCACATAGGTGGCGCAGTGTATAGAGCACCAGCCCCGGATTCAGGAGGACCTGAGTTCAAATGCAGTCTCAGACACATAGCACTTATTAGCTGTGTGACCTTGGGTAAGTCACTTAACCCCATTGCTGAGCCAAAACAAAGATAAAAGAGGAGGAAACGGAGGCTTAGAGAAGTGAGCCTCATGCCCATGATCACAAAGCTTATAGGTATTAAAGGTGGAGTTTGAACCTAGATCTTCCTGGCACTAAGTCTTTGTTGGCTCTACTTTTTGAGGACTAGAAGAAATTGAGAATTAATCCAGAGGATCAAATGAAATAATAATTGTGAATTATTTTGTAACATAATGTAAACACAGGGCCTGGCACATAGTAGTTGCTAGTTAAGTGTTAGTTATGATGATGATGATGATGATGATGTCTGGGTCATATAGTTTCTCAATATGGAATGAACACTGTACTAGAAAGGATAGAAACACTTGTCAACTTGTCATGCTTGTCAGTTGGCCAAGTACAAAGACTTTCAGAGTCAGATTCTTCTCAGATTTGGTGACCACTATAAAAATTTTGTGAAGAACTAAGCCATCATTACTGAGCCTCTAATGTTTTCACTTGTAGATATTTGGTGGAGAAGGATCAAAACCAAAAAAGTGAGAAAGGACAGTCTGGCCTGACCCTTGCAACACTATTTGGAGATCACTGGGAAGACAAATATGAACAGGCTTCTAGGACAAGGTCAGTTGCCTCACATATTCACCTGTGTTAGCTTATGCAGATATAGTACAAGCAAGCTCCTTTTGTAACACCCTGATACTAACCTCACAGGATTTCGAGCAGTGTTACAGGAAGTGAGACCTGTTATTGTGTATACAAGTTAAAGTTCTTGGCTTTGAAGAGGATAGTAACCAAGAAGTTAAAAAACTGTGTTAAATAGAGCCAATTTCAAGTATGAAAAGATAATAACCCACTGTCGTGTTTTGACCAGTGCTGTTGGATAATGTCTGCTAGAGATGGGTAACAGCATGAGTCAAATATGAGTTTAGCTTACACTGTTGACCCGTGAAGACTAATGCAGATGCCTTTTCCCATGACCACATGAGTGTGAACTATGATAATACCCATTGAAAGGGTGAAAATGATATGTGACATATAGGGAGGCAGGCCTCTATCATATGGAAGTGAAGCTGAAAGTTTAGAATGTCCACCAGAGAGAATATAATCAGTAGAGTAAATCCTGTAGCATTTGAAAAAATCATTTCTGCTTCTGGTTGTCTTTGGATAGCTGGTAGCTAAAGCAAGAACATGAAAAAATGTGATGTGAAGTGATAAAGACCAAGAAGGGAGACTTTTAAATCTAGACAATGATTTATGTCAGTGGCATCAAACTAAAATAGAAAACTGATCCTGTAGGTAGCATGCTGACTTAGAAAATCACAAATTAACATTATCTATGTTGTATTGTATTTTTGTTTATTTTGTTAAGCACTTTCCAGTTACATTTTAAACCTGAGTTTTGCAGCCATATGTGGTCCACAAGTTTGATACTTCTGACTTATGTGATCAAAACCAGATAGGATTTTGGGGCAGCCATTAGTGGGTAGAGTCAACTAGCAGTTTTTAAAAAATATATTTATTTTTAGTTTTCAATATTCACTTCCATAAGATTTTAAAAAATTTTTTGTTAATTTATTTTGATTTAGCAATAATCACTCCCATATGCTTTTGAGTTTAAAATTTTTCTCCCCCTTCCTCCCCACCACCCTCCCCAAGATGGTACACAATCTGATATAGGCTATACATTTACATTCCTATTAAACATATTTTCACATTAGTGATGTTGTAAGTAAAAATTAAAACCAATAGGAGGAGCCATCAGAAAGAGGAAACAAAACTCAACAGAAGAGAAAAAAATAGCAATTCAACTTCCATAGTTCTTTCTTTGGATGTGGATAGCATTTTCCATCATGAGGCTCTGGAGATGATTTAGATCCTTGTATTGCTGGGAAGGGTTAAGTTTATCAATATTAGTCATTGCACAATGTAGCTGTTATTGTGTACAATGTTCTCTTGGTTCTGCTCACTTCACTCAGCATCAGACCATACAAGTCTTTCCAGGGTTTTGTGAAGTCAGCCTGTTCATCATTTCTTATAGCACAAAAGTATTCCATTACATTGATATACCACAACTTGCTCAGCCATTCCCCACTTGATGGGCATCCTCTCAATTTCCAATTCTTTGCCACCACAAAAAGAGCTGCTATGAATATTTTTGTACATGTGGGTCCTTTTCCCCACTTCCATAAAATTTTGAGTTTTAATTTTTCTCCTCCTCCTCCTCCCTCCCCAAGATGGCATGTAATCTGATATAGGACCTACTTATACATTCTTATTAAGCATATTTTCACATTAGTCATGATCTATAGAAGAATTAGAACTAATGGGAGGAACCACGAGAAAGAAGAAATAAAACAAAACAACATATGAAAAGGAAGGCAAATAGTATGCTTCCATCTGCATTCAGACTCCATGGTTCTTTTTCTGGAGTTGGATAGCATTTTCCATCATGAGTCTTTTGGAGTTGTCTTAGATCCTTGCATTGCTGAGAAGAGTTAAGTCTATCAAAGTCAGTCATTGCACAAAGTATCTGTTACTGTGTGCAATGTTCTCCTGGTTCTGCTCATTTCACTCAGCATCAGTTCATATGAGTCTTTCCAGGTTTTTCTGAAGTCAGCCTGTTCATCATTTCTTATAGCACAAAAGTATTCCATTACATTGATATACCACAACTTGCTCAGCCATTCCCCACTTGATGGGCATCCTCTCAATTTCCAATTCTTTGCCACCACAAAAAGAGCTACTATAAATATTTTTGTACATGTAGGTCTTTTTTCCATTTTTATGATCTCTTTGGGATACAGATCTAGAAGTGGTATTGCTGAGTTAAAGGGTATGCACATTTTTATAGCCCTTTGGGCATAGTTCCAAATTGCTCTCCACAATGGCTGGATCAGTTCACAGCTCCACCAACAATGCATAAGGGTCCCAATTTTGCCACATCTTCACCAACATGTATCATTTTCCTGTTTTGTCACGTTAGCCAATCTGATAGGAGCATTTTTAAATGCCCAATAAACATTTATTGAATTCAATCACATCACATGTATAATTAGAATAATGATGGCATCTTCCTCAATGGGTATGACAGTGCAGGTGGCAAAATGTAGCCATTCTATTACATAAACATTCTGTGATGTCAGCTAAGCTGATTGACAAGAAATATACGTGGACTTGTAAAGCCCGAAGTATTAGTGCCTAAGTGAACTGGAAAAGAAGCCCCTTCAAACCATCTAAAACATGTGCATTGCTGTCTCGCTCTTTTTGTTTGATAGGTGGTTCTGTCCAGGTTGAAAACCTCTTCTCCAAATTGAGTATCAATAGAATGCTACATATAACAATCACTAACCAGTGAAAAAAGCTAGATTAGAACATGAATAGATGAGAGTCAGAACAGCTGAATGTTTCTACACTTAGCTACATTCTGATAGGTACCACTCTGTGGCACCTCAGAGTTGTTTTGACTTGCATTTCTCTAATCAATAGTGATTTAGAGTATTTTTTCATATGACTATGGATAGCTTTAATTTCTTCCTCTGAAAACTGTCTGTTCATATCCTTTAACCATTTGTCAATTGGGAAAGACTTGTATTCTTATAAATTTGACTCAGTTCTCTATATACTTTAGAAATGAGGCCTTTCTCAGAGACACTGACTGTAAAAATTGTTTTCTGCTTCCCTTCTAATCTTG